TTGTCATTGTGATATTTTTTTTTCTCTCTCTCTCTCTCTCTCTCTCTCTCTCTCTCTCTCTCTCTCTCTCGTCTTTTGAGGCAGGGTCTCAGGCTAACTTGGAACTTTCTAGGTAGCTGAAGATGATCTTGAACACCTAATCCTGCCTCTACTTTGAAGTGCTGAGATTACAGTGTGCATTAACACACATGGTTTTTATGGTGCTGGAAACACCCCCCGATCTTAAAGTTTATAATGTATTGCCATTCAGTGCAGTCAGAGTGGGGCAAACATTAGCTATCTCATTCTAATACATTTGCCTTCGGTTCCTCCCCTCAAGTCTACAGGGCAGGAAAAGATTTCTTCTCTATTCTATTGCTAAGTTCATGACTAAGTCTCCAATAACAAACGATGATCAACAAGAGAAAAGGTTAAGAATTTACCCATACAGTTGAATGTCCCTTATGTGAAACATCTGTTACCAGAAGTGTTTTTAATTGCTGATTCTGGAATGTTTGCATAAATTTGCATATGCATAATGAGATGACCTGGTGATGGGGCCCAAGCCTAAACACTAAATTCATTTATCTTTCTTATATATCATATATACACACAGCCAGGTCATTTTATACAGTATTTATACAAGTACTTCTGTCTTGATTGTGACTTGTTACTCCACATTGGCTTTGAAATTTTCAGCTCCAATTGTGACCTTGGTGCTCAGCAGTAGAGTGCTGGCCTCAAATGCATAATGCCAACTTTTTGTAAGCTGGGCCTGTAATTTTAGCACTTTGAAGGCTGAGACAGGAGGATTAATGTAAGTTTGAGTGACACCATAGCCCCCTAAAATAAAATATTCCAGGTGTTTGAGCTTTTAAGACTTTTGAGGTTGTGTAACTTTTACGCTATCATGTGGAGGTCAGAGGTCAACCCCAGCTGTTGTTCCTCAAACACTGTCCACCTTGTTCTTGTGTGTGTGTGTGTGTGACAGGATCTCTCACTGACCTAGACTGGCTGACTAAGTAGCCAACCCCAGGGATTCTCCTGTCTCTGCCATTCAACACTAGTATTACATGCAGCTGGCGTTTTTTTCATGGGTCCTGGGGATCAAATAAGGCCCTTATGCTTATGCAGTAAGCGTTTTGTTGACAGCCTCTCCAGTTCCTTGTGTGACATCTTCCCTTTGGGTATAGGACAGGGCATCTACTTGCCAGTTGAAGATCTTCAGGGAATAATAGCATGAGGAGGTCTGAGTGACTTCCCTATTCTTGCTGTTTCCTTGAATGGCAAGGTGCCATATTTTGGAGTAACATGTGCTGAACCCCATCTTGGCCCCTTTCCAGGTCCTAAGCACACACTGGGCTCTCTTTCTCTCTCTACTTGGGATTTTTTTTATAGAAATAGACTTCATTCAACATGTGGTTTTTGTTGTTATGCCCAGTCCACAAGACCCCCAGAGAGACCACTACTCAGAGCAAACTCACCGAATGCAAGTATAATATTTCTTTATTCAGTTCAAGCCTAGGCAGGGACCTCCTTCCACAGACTGACAAAGCATCAGTGGGAGAAGCTCCTGAGCTTCACAAGCAAGGGGTTTATAAAGACAAAAACCACAGGATACAGTGAGAGGTATAGGTTTAAAGCTGACTGGCTGGGATGTCTAGAGGAACTTGGGGAGTTTGGGGGGTTTCCATAGATTTATCTCTGGTGCCATGTGTGCTCTCTGGCACCACCCGTGCCCATAAAGGCTGTTTTTGCAACTGTTAATTGGCTAACCCGGGGTCAGGACCATTTGTGGTTATGTGTTCTTCCTTACTGCCTGCTTTTCCTGGAGCTAGCTGCAGGTTCCCATAGTCTGTTTCCAGTCCTCTTTTCTAAAATGGCCCTGGTTTGGTCTCTCATTCCCCCCTTCTTGAAGCACCGATGACAGGATCCAATCATGGGTCCTACCTGATAGGGGCTCAAGGGGGTGGTAACAGGTCCTAAGAGCCATGAGCCGACTGACGTTTCTAGGGCAACAACATTTGCATCTATTGCTATTTTGTCCCCTATGTAAGGGGGTGTAGGAGACAGTAAGCCATGCCTGTTAGGGCTGAGACAGCCTGGGCCACGACAAAAAGGGGGTTTCCTTTTGACTTAGCATTTCAACCAGGGAGCAAGGGACAATGTATTCTTTTCTGTAACTACTACTGGCTGACATTGGGGCATTGTTGTCAGGGGCCCGAGAAGGCTGAAATGCTAGTCAAAAGCAAAGAGGGAATTCAGGAAATGGGATATTTATCAGAAGCATCTGGTTCGCAGACTCTGTTGAAGAGACAGGGAGTGTTCACATCAGCCAGTTGGCCCACATCAGCAGCAAGTTCAGGGCTCGCTGTCTTTAGGAGCAGGCTGTAGTCAGCAACTGATGCTTGGGTGTGTCTGCCAGAAGAGGAAACCTGTTGAGACAACTATAAACCAGGAACAGAAGTTAAAATTTATGTGCTTAATGGAAACTTTTAGGCCCATAGTTTTAGCAATTGGGAAGGGCAGGAGTCAGTCCCAAGACCAGGAGAGAGAAAATCCCATCCTCAGAAATGGACAGGTAGAGAAAACATAGGCAGTACTTATCTGGAGTCCTTTTGACCTGTGAGAAGTGGATCCATGTTTTATGACTTTTTGATCCTCTGAAGGCTATAGGAACTTTATTTATTAGTTTTACCAATCTGTACTGAAATCCGTACTGTAGAAAAAGCAGGTATTGGGTATGTGTAAAACACCAGGAACAGACTCATACCTTTGAGTCCTAGCAAAAGATACAGATTTGGGTTAGAAGTATGTACATATTTCTTCTGTCCAGAGATCCAGGTAAAGATTGGACAGAGATACCCTTGGCCTGATGAAAAGCCCTTTAAGTTTATACTTAGATGACAACCAAAATAAACCCAAAACCCTGAGCTTGTGACTGAACAGCAGGTAGTCACTGTTCTACCAGCTTATCATAACTCTATGAAATGTTAAGCTCTGAACTTTTATATTATGGAAGGGGAAAACACTCTGAAACCTTTTTATACCTTTATTTATTTATCTTAAATCACTTTTATACCCTTAAAACTTGTATACTTTTACATCCTCAGACCCCCTTTTTAGGAGCCGTAGTAAGGCTTGATTTTTGAGCTACCAAGCTGGCTGTAGTCTTGAGGAAGGATCTGACTGCCTGATGCTGCCAAGGAGACAAAGCTATAGCTAGCCTAACCATCAATACTATCAAAGAAGGATAAATTCCAAGCAGCTTTTGAATCTATTAAAAATGAGAGGGACCAGTCCATACACAGTTAGCCATACCCAAGTCTCCATACTATTAGAGGCAGAAGTATCAGGAGAACAGCATCAATCTTTGCCAGGCCTATAAGGTGAGAGATTTTTTTCCTCTATGGAAGGGGACATGGAAAAGACTGACCTTATTTTGTCTAGGCAAAAGTGGTGCAATCAATTCTCCAGTGTCCTGCTGCTTGTTCAAAGTCTGTTCCTGGTCTTGGCAGCAGGTGTTGCATTGGAGCATCTCACCCATTGGTCAGTGTTGCCATAATCCAGGTTCATACATTGTGGTGCACCATAATCTTCTTTGGAGACCTTGGGTCACTGTCAGGATCTTGGAGCCTCTGTCTGATATTATAAGCTTTTTAATCAACATTTTAAATGGCATATTCTGCAACTCTCTGAAGTATTAGAGGACTGCCTAAGTAAATCTGAATAGACAACTTTGTTTCTAGATAATTCTTGTTTTAAGCTTAACTTTTGAAAACATATACAGGGGACTAAGTAAGGTTTATCCTTATAATTAATTATATCAGTACTTAGCATGACTACAATTAAAAAACTTGATCATTTATAAGGATGGCTATTAACTTGTATTTCTTAACATTTTACAATAGGTTAGCAGCTTTTGTAAGAATAAGACTTGGACTTTACATTACAACTTCTATTAGGTTTAGCTTTAAAAATAATAATTTTGAGTTGAAGCACACATGAGTCCTGGCTGCTGCCCAGAGTCTGCTCAACAATAACTTAAAGTTATCTCTGGAACAGAATCAATTCCCAGGGATGAACCATGTCTTCTGTATTGCCACCTCCCAAAGTGCACAGGAAACAACAAAAGAATGAAAAGTACCCTGGGTACTTTGACAAATGACATATTACCTTTGTGTGTGTGTGTGTGTGTGTGTGTGTGTGTGTGTGTGTGTGTGTGTGTAAGTATGCCACAGCTCATTTGTGAAGGTCAGAGGACAATTTACAGAGATAGTTCTCTCCTTCGGCCATATGGGTTCCAGGCATTAAAATCAGGTTGTCAGGCTAGCCATCTCATAGGCCTGTGCCCAGCAATTTTATGTGAGCTCTGGAGAAAGAACTCAGGTCTCAATGCAAATATTTTACTAATCTGGGCCATCCTCCTGCTCATTTCTTTTATTTTTTTCAAATTGAAATTAGCATTTATTTGATGAGGTGGTGGTGTTGGAGCAAGAGGAAGAGGAGGAGGAGGAGGAGGAAGAAGAGGTGGCCAGTCCCACTAATATTTTGATATATCAGATGCTCCTAAACATTGAGATGTCCTTTATCACCTCAGGGTTCCACCATGTACATTCTCTATGTTAACTCTCAGTTGCTTCAATTGCTGCTACCAGGCACAGAACAAAAATGGACAATGCTGAGGTACATCTGGCCCTGAGGAGCCATCTCTGGCTGCACATTAGAGTCCACAGAGTCACATTTACTACAATCAGCCCATTCCTCCACCTTCCTTTTATAGAGGACTAGAGTCCTGGAGCTCAGAGCGAAGATGACATCTCCAAGGTGGCGGGGCAGGCAACAGAAGTCAATCCAACCCACTTGTCTTATATATTTATTTTTAAAAAGGAAAGAAACAGAAAGCAAGGTTGGCAT